TTATTTATTTTGTTTGATCCTTAGGCTTTGTTTTGATGGATCACGGTTTTTTATCCTATAAATTCCAATGAGTGTTTATGGGTTTTCAATCACGTTTTTTGATTCCCGGGTTTGGCTCCGTTCTACTACGGCAGCCACTTTTTGCTAGTTTTATCTTTATTTGTTGGTTGATCATCAGATTTGTTGTTGATCCTGATTTTTTGTTGATCCTCCACCCCTTGCTTTCGGAGTCCTCTTAGGCCTCTGAGCCTTAAATCCTCCATCCGAAGTGCCAAATCTTGCAATCTACTCGAACTCCCAAAGTATCATCTCCAGAACCCAGATATGTACAAATAAGAGCTACACAGATCCCGAGTAGGGGTAGTTGGGGCATACTCGAACTCAGCCCAATAGCTCCCAACATCTGATTTCTTGACGACCCTGCCTTCGCCATATTCCTTTCCGAGATTCGGTTTAGCTCCATACCCACGGTTTGGGGCACGATCTTATTTCCAGCTTTCAGCACAACGTCCACACTATGTAGGCGTACGGCATATACGCTCTTGGAGCACGAGGTTTGACTCTGGCGAGCTCTGGGCTCCAACTGATAACTGGTTCAAAGTAGGTGGTGGTTCAAAGTAGGTGGTAGTTTCCTTAAATTAGGGATAAGGATTGTAGTATACTGCGCCCACATTGGGGTCCCCTCTTTAGGGAAACTACCCGGTGCCGTTTATAGGGGCCCACACTATATTGCTTGTAGACTCAGAGCCGAAGGGTTTAGGGTTTAGGGTTTATCCCTACATGCCTTATATATCCTTATGAAACCTGTATGTAGTCACTTGTAGATGCATAGGATCATGTTGCAGGGATATTTCATGACCTGCCAGTCAGTCTTCTATGATGTGCTTCCGGGTTTAGGGTTTGAGGTTATGCATATTTCATGATATTTCCATGAATCATGGGTCTCTTTGGGGGATACCTTTAATAAGGATTATTTTATATTGGGTTCTATATGGGCACCCCTCCCTGTCTCGAAACTTTGATGTGCAGAAGCCCTGCAGAGCCCCAGTGGCAAGATCCCCCCATATTCCTCTAAAGCATCAAACAACCCTAAACCCTAACCCATGACTCTTCGCTTATATGTGCACGTAAAATTATTCATGAACTCGGACGCCAAGGAGGTGGGAACGCAGACAGCCAAGTCGATGATGTGTTACTTTGACACTAACGGCGGCTGCCCTAGTGACTTCCCCTCGTAGGTGCTTAGATCCTCTTCCCCTAGCAAAGGGGGAGCCTCAGTTGAGAGTGATATAGGGGTGGTTAGGAGAAAACATAATACACAAATACCATGATAAGTCCTACTTTTACAGTACAACCATTCCAACTCTTACTACTTCTCCTGTTGCGACTGCTTTACGTGTTCTTAAGAATCACAGGGTCAGGGATCCTTACGGGATAGAGAAAGGCTTAGGGTGTATCGCTTAGGGTCGAGGATTTGTATAAGGGTGCAGCGCAGTCTACTAGAATCCAAACGGTTCATGTAGCTATATGAGCCATAGTCTAAATTCCTAGTATCCCCCTTAATAACCCCTCTAGTAGTCCCCTATATGATCCCCTATATAACCCCCTTTTAAGGAGTTTAGACTATAGCTCATATAGT